AAAAACTCAAAAGAACTCAAATCTTTATTTTCGACAAATAGTAAATATAGAACTTACACATACTGCAATAGAAAATATGAATTTTCTAAAAGAAGGTGCAATTCTGGCTAATAATTTTGATCTTCAGAAGATATATGCTGATAGTTCATTTATATTTAAATATAATCGTGTAGATACAAGAGCATCTGAAAAATATGAATATGATGATGTGATTATACCAACAGAAACATATGCAGCGATTTTATTTATGATAGTAGTGAATGTTTTTTCAAATCCTATAAATTGTGGATATTTTGATAAGGATGAAATAGATTTTATTTTTTCTATGTTTACACTTTCTATAGAAGCTCAAATGTTATTTGCACGTATCTTAAAAAGAAAATATTCATGGCACAGAGTAGAACATTTAAAATACAACAATTTAGCTGATGATTTGATACCAGTTTGCAACGAACTTGTGTCAAAGTCATTTTTTATATCTGATATTGAAAATGAAGAATTATCTACTTCCCTTAAAATGCTTCAAGTTGATGAAATTCGAACAATTTGTAAAAACTTTAAGTTAAATTATAATAATAAAAAACAATCATCGATAAAGAAATTATTAGAAATGGGAGCCAAAAAACCTCTTTTTCCTGGCATGAAAACCTCAGGTGATAAATTAAAGTCATTGATATCAAATAAGTTGGGATATTGTATACGTTTAAGTCAAAAGACCAAAGATATTTTTGATAAGGTATTAACATTATTAATACCTTCTCAAGAACCACAAGATACTGTATCAGATATATATAATAAGTTGATGCAGGTCGAACTTAAAAAGATGATTTTTCCTAAATTTTCTGATAAAAGATATCCTATTTTTAGCAACAGAAATCAATTAATTCGGTAAGTGTCAGAAAATAAATAGTTTATTCTTTATATAAATCTAAAAATTTTTGTTTCTTTCTGATTGTATGTATCTTAAATACTGTATATAAATTATGTTTAATTAGTTATATATATTTGTATATAGATATATTGAAGCAAAAAATGAACTTACTGGTATAATGAATGCCATTGAAAAAAAACAATGGGAGACTGTAAAAAAAATTGGAAAGTTAGCTTATGATCAATGGCTATTTATTATGAAAAATGAATCCACATGGTAATTATAAATATTCAAGAAAATGTTTCATTTATAATGCATCTGTGTACATATATATATATATATATATATATATATAAATATATAAATATATATATAAATATATATATATATATATATATAAATTATATTATATATATATAAATATATATATAAATATATATATATATATATATATATATATATATATATATATATATATTTGTGTTAATAAAAATATTAGGTTGTTCGAAAAGTTCGTGCTGATTTTTGGTAACTGGCGTAAGGATAAAATTGGCACGAACTTTCCGGACAACCCAATAGTATTAAAGTTTATGTATATTGTATATGGGATATAATTTAATTTTGTTTCATTTTACAGTTTAGAAAACTATGTGGTTCCTTTGCATATATCTTGCTTTATGCCAGGTTATTTATGGTTGAAAATATTATCTAAAAGTATAGATGCATTTAAGAAAGTAAAAGAGACATTACCATTTGCCATTGAAATTTTACATAAATTAATAAATCAAAATTTTTACATGCAAAGAAAAAAAGAAACTTGGTATGCTGAATTAGCATTGATAGAAATGCATCATAATAAAAATTTAGAAGCTAGTGCAAAAATAACGCTAGAGTTATTGAAAACTGAAACTTTATCCGAAGTTGGTACTGCAGAACTTTTGGAAAGAGCAAAAAAACTTGTTAAAAGAAAAAATGGCATAAGTAACACTACGTTGACAAATATTAAGACCACATTAAAATTCATGAATAGCAAGCTTAAAAGTCCAATATTAAATACAACAACAGTGGAAGCTACTTTAATTAAAGGGTAAGTTATAGTCAATTTAAATAGATATATAGAATATGAATATATTGAAAATAGACTATATATTTATATTATAGAAAACTATATATTTATTTATAGAAATTTTGGAGTTAGTAAGAGCAAATGGTGTATTGATAATAATACAGATAATAAATCCTATATTTCAGTTGAAAATGTTGCATTAAACTTTTATTATAATCAAGGTTTTAATGGTGGAATACATTGCGAAGGTGCTCTACCAGTTACTCTATTTTTTGTCTTATTTTGGGAAGAACTATTTAATATTGATATTCCTGGAGCTTTTGTGACATTATATCAAACAGCTCCCCTAGACTTATTTACTAAAGATTTTTATAAAAATAAAAAAGAAACAATTGATATGAAACTTAACTTATTACGCAGTTTTGATCCAGAAACTTTTAGCAGTATGGTAGAATATAACTTTATATCGAACAGTCACTTTGAATCCATGATGCATGTTAAAATGTTTACAAGTAATAATATTAAAGTAAGTAATAAATCGTTATGTATATCATAGTTAATAAATTAAATTATTGAAGTAGATTTAATGAGATAATATAATTTTATAATTACAGGAAATCGTATATTGTTTAGGGACTGAAAATGTTATAAAAATTTGTGAACGACTTATTCATAATTTTACCTTATGGAAAGCTGGCTTTCCTGATTTGGTCATATGGAATTCAAATAATAAAACTGTAATTTGCAATCATACTTGTATATTTTAAATAGTAACATCAGTGATTAATTTATATTATGTTTTACGAAATAATTTTTATTTTTTTATTAGTGCAAAATCGTTGAAGTCAAAGGACCTGGTGATAAGCTTTCAGTGAAGCAAACATTATGGTTACAGTACTTACATGAAATGGGAGTAAATGTAGAAGTTTGTCTAGTAAAAGGTAAATCTTTTATATTCATATAATTTGTTTATTTTTTTCTATTTGTAAACTTTAGATAAATTATGTTGTAAAATTTATGGCTCTAATGCTTCCGTTACGGTGATTGTACAAGGACCTTCAAAATGATACCTTTAAAACAGAAAAATTATTTTAATAATTTCTCTGTAATTTTATGTAATAATTTCTATTTTGCATTACAATAATTTTAATTTTTTTCTCTATAGATAATGGCAAAACTTACTGAAATTGTCTTGTCGCCGGAGTTATTTCAATATTAAATTCTGCAACTGGTACTCCACGATTTGCTACTTGTGGTGCAAACATTGCAGCTGGGTATACAATAGAAGATGTTCCAATTATTAAACATAAATCGCATGTTTCAACAATCTCATCTGCAGATAATTTTAATAAACATTTTAATATAACATTTTTTTATATATATATATATTACTTACAAGCTTTACTAAGTACAGATTCATCAAGACTTTCACCAAACCATATAATATCAGGTCTAAGCAAACCATTGCAATTTACATTCTCGCATCTAGGAAGTTCTTCTATTGGAATGGTAGAAGATGTAATATTTGGATCTGGTGCTCTATTATGTATAATGATATAGTAAAATATGTAAAATATAAATTATAATTTTTACTGACAATAACTTTACCCTTTTCCATCTAATGCCGCGCAAATTGGAATATTTTCATTAACACTTATATTGTGACATTTCGTGCAGCGTGTTCTATAAAGCGAACCATGAAGTTCCAATATGTCTTCTGTTCCTGCTTTTTGATGTAAGCCATCAATATTCTGAGTTATTACTGTTACCTTTTTACCATCTTTTATAAAACGTTTTTGAAATGCTGCTATTGCTTCATGGGCCTGTCAATTTAAATCAAAATGGAAAATATAAAATGAAAAGATTCAAATCATACCACTTAAATGAATAGCATATAAAAAGAATTATAAGTATAAATACCTTATTAGGTTTGACTTTGCTTACTAATGTTCTTCGGTATTCATAGAATTCCCAAACTAATGATGGATTTGCAGCAAAAGCTTCTGGTGTTGCCAAGCTTTGTGCTTGATATTTTCTCCAATATCCACCTGCTCCTCTAAACGTTGGTACACCAGATTCAGCTGAAATACCACTCCCAGTTAAAATCATAACATTTTTACTATTCGAGAGAATTTCACGAAACGATTTCATCACGTTCATCGTACACACTTATTAAAAATTCTATAAACTTTTTTGTCCATTCACGATCAGCTGATCGTGACGTAAATTACAATTAAGGATCACCACTGGTTTTATAATGATTTACGTCAACAATAAGTACAGGCGTAATTCTTGAATAATTTTGATGAGCAAGGTCTCATTTTAAAAGTGAAAATATAAGCGAGATGAACATGGCTTTTTCGAATTTTTGAATTTATTTTCTTTTTTTTAAAAAACATTGTGTCAAAAAATGATATTCTTTCGAAAATAGTTTACGTATAAAAATAAAGCTTTTTCAAAAATTCGAATAAGTTATGTTCTTGCTTAAATTTTCATCTTTAAAATTTTTTCATAAAAACCATTCAAGAATTACGTTTACATTTGTTGTTGACGTAAAAGTTGTTTTCAACATTTTTTGTGGAAAAAAAAAGTTTCCTATAGTGGCGCCCCTCGAATTTTGCGGCAAAAGAGAAGAAGCTCCTACCCAAACTACTGATTATCATATAATCACTACAATGATATATGATTTGTTTCTGCAAAGTAGACGAATGCTTCCTTATTTGGTATACGTAAACTGATGCTCAGATTTTTTAATCTATTTAAAATGCAAGGAAACGCACGAACAAGCTTAGTAACCTATTCATGCATTTTAAATAGTTTACGTTTGATGATTCTATGATAAAAATAAGCACATACATGTTTAGTCGTTCATGCTAATGAATCTTAGGAATTTTATTAATTTAAACGATGTATAATATACACGGATTACAATATACTAATATTTAAATAATAGTATATTCCCTTAAGCATTACATTAACTCTGTTAAATATAAAATAATTTTAATTCAATATTTCAATATAATTAAATATTAAACGCGAAGTCATTGTCTTCATTTAAATCAACAAAAACGGACTTTTGACTGATTTTTACTGTTAGAGAAAAATTATTCTTTTGTATTTCGATGAATAAACATAGAAGCTTTCTCTGTGCGAATTAACTTCAATGGCCGTCCGTTAAAAAATAATCACCTCGTATTAGAGTTACCGAATTTTTGAATAATATTTCAACCTACAGCGATATCCACCTACATTATTTTCAGTCACTTACGAATCGTCCGCCTTCAATTTCGATCTAAAACGTGAACGAGTGTTTTGGAGCCATCGCAGAATTTTTTAAGTAGTACAATTAGCATTTTTCAATTATTCTATTTTCGGAAAAGTATAATACTTTTTTTTACTTTTGTCCGATGTATTACGTACAAAAATTTTTATCACACGCTAACTCAATTGTTGAATTATGAATTATTTAATTATTTCTTATACTATCTCTATAAGTTTATACATCAATCCAATAGACACATAGCACGGGCAGTATTCCTCTATTCTGCTTCTGTTTACATTTTGTCTATATCTATCGTTGAAGTATATACTACGAGCGAAAACATAACCTCTTACATATGAAAATCGTATATTTTTAGATCTTGAATTATATAATAGACTATGAATAGTTATGAATAATTTTTAAATGTATCTATTTTTTACATTTTATCAAATTACGAAGAATTAATATGAATATTAAAAAATACTTATTTAAAAGTTTTATCAAGAATTTTTTCCGATTCAAATCTCACGTACGTATGTAAAATTAATTATTTTTTTATAAATTAATTGTATTGATTAAACTATTAATTATTTTTTAAAGGAAAAAGAATTAAAGCCAAAAATTATAAATAACTCATTTGGTAAATATGAAGTCGTAGAACCATGGTATGTTTCCGAAACGTGTCAAAGACACGTGCCATCATATGTTCCTAAGCCATCTTATAGTTTAACTAAAATCCCAGAACCAGGGCCAATAAGGCCAGAAATTAAAGATAAAAATCAAATAGAATGTATAAAAGAAAGTTGTGAACTTGCACAATATGTTCTCACTCAAGCAGAAAAATATGTCAAGGCAAGAGTAAAAGATTATGTATTTTATATATATCATATCAATATATATAATAATGTGACTTTATCAATATTGAGAGTAATCATAATTCTTAGCCTGGTGTTACTACAGATCAATTAGATGAAGTGATTCATGAAATGATTATAAATAATGGAGCATACCCCAGTCCACTTAATTATCGAGGATTTCCAAAATCTATATGTACTAGTATTAATAATGTTGCATGTCATGGTATCCCAGATAATCGTCCATTAAAATACGGAGACATACTTAACGTAGATGTGACTGTATGTATTATCATACTATTTAATTTTTGTTATACGGCTCATCATAATTTTTTCTTGTTAAATGTTATAAATTTAGGTCTATTTAAATGGTTATCACGGTGATTGTTCAAAAACGTTTGAAGTAGGAGAAAGTGATGCTGAGGGTAAAAAATTAATACAGGTGACTGAACTTTGCCTCCAAAGTGCAATAAAAATTTGTAAACCAAATGAAAAATTTTGTAGTATAGGTATGTGGTAATATTTATCTTTTTTTTTTATAGATATATCAAAATATTATAATAAAGTATTTTAGGTAATATTGTGGAAGAAATAGCAAATAAGCATGGATATAATGTAATTCCTGCATTTGCTGGACATGGCATCGGAACTTATTTTCATGGGCCACCAGACATCTTACATTTTGGTATTTTCGTACAAATAATTTAATGTTTATATACATAGATATTTGAATGAAATATTTTTTATTGCATTTAGCGCATGAGTCTGCTGAAAGAATGCAGCCAGGTATGACATTTACTATAGAACCAATTCTAAGTCAAGGTGGAAAAGAGGTAGAAATTTTGGAGGATGGTTGGACAGCTGTAACAGTAGATGATGCTAGAACTGCACAAGTAGAACATACTATTTTGATAACTGATAGTGGTTGTGAAATAATGACAAAGTAGTTACTGATATTTATAAAGTTGATAGCAAAACTTTATGTAATTCAGAACAACCTATACTGTAGAATAAATTGTCTTTGATTATATAATTAAATTTTATTTAATAAAATTATTTTTAAATATTTTAAATCAAAGAACATGTTTATTTGGTTAGAATAGCTGCTTCCCAGTTACTTTCTAATGTTAATGGACCTTGAATCTCCACACCTTCATCTTTAGTAATTATACCAAGATGATACTAGAAAAAACAGGGATATCATATATCTTGATAAGTAATAGCAGTAACTGCATTTTTTAATTTTTTTTACATAAATTACCTTAGGAAAAGAACGAGCGTCTCTGTAAAAAAGAACTTGCATAGCTTTGTAAAGAAGTTCTTTTGCTTCTTCTTTAGTCATTTCACTATTTTCTTCATATGCTTTCCGCAATAGAGGTGTTGCCATATAGGCACCATAACCAGTTGCAATTACTGGATCAATGTAAGCAGTTCCAAGTTTATCTACTGTACCTAAAAATCTAATAAAATATACACAGACATATTGCCTATTTATTCATAATATCATATATTAATTTATAAATTAACGAGAAATATTTACGGTTTTCCATTATCTAATCCTGCAATTACAAAATTGTTCCAAAATGGATCATAACTTGATCGTCTGTTATACATCACACGAGTTAACCAACAATAAAGTGCTTTAGGCTTTAGAGAAAATCCATCATCTAAACATTGTTCATCTAGGCTAAAAATAATATTAAAATACAATTATATATTTGAAATAGATATTCTTAGTAATTATATAACTCACATTTTCTTTTCAATGTTACTTTTGATGCATTGAAAATCTGCATAATCACCGCTAGCACCAAGAAGAATATTATCATTGACTTTCATGATACGTTCACAATTTCTATATCGAGCTAATGAACCATAAGATGCCAGAATATCGGCAGCAATAATAACTCCATCTTTAAATTGTATTCCAATTACTGATGTTCCAGTTGTCATAGGTGCTCTGTACAAATATATATAAGCCGTACTACAATTGTTTTACATGATTCCTTTTAAGTTAAGATTTATTTTTGAACTATATCATACTATATTATAAATTAATTATTATTATTATAATGTTAAAAAGAATAAGTTGTGAAACAATACTTTATTTTAAATATATAAAATAAATAAATTCTACAGAATAACCTAACGTGATTTACAGGTTATACCTTATATATTTTCTTGAATAAACATTTTTATAAGAGTGAAATAAAACTCACTGTGATCTTTGGCGCATTCCATGATCGACTGATTGTATGGTACTTCCAGGAAAATCATAAAAACAGCCCGGCGTTGGACCATTTTGCCAAAAAGGTGCGGGAGTAGAATAGCCGTTATTACCAAAAAGCGCCATATTTACTACAAGTCACGATACAACTTTGAAATGTCATGTTCTGCAATCTATAGTGTTACAGCGCCATCAAAGACGCCATCTTTTTATACATATATTTGCTTGTTGGTGATTGGTTTGCTCTGAAATAGCTTTTAAGTTAGAAAAATTCATTTTATTTTATATAGTAAAATATTTTATTCTTTTTCTAAATGTTCCTTTTTCAAATGTTTCTTTTTTTAAATATAATACTCTATAATGTCATTCAAGAGCCATAATTAAAACAGAATTCAATGACAGATTTCTATCATAATTAATAGAATAAAAATAATTCATTAATTTTACGAACAAGTAATAAAAGAAGTAAACACGATTTATTAATTATACGTTTTTTATGTTTATGACGATATTTCGTAACATAAAATAATAAGATCATTCGTTAATTTATCTATCTGATCTATCGGTAATCAATCTACGATGTGGTTAACACTGTTTTTCTTTCAAAAAGTATATTTATATTTGAAGACCTGATTTTTTTTAATATTGTGTGTATAATTTGATTATCGACATTAGTGATATTCGAAATAATAATGTCGATAAGGAAGATCAACATGTTACTACTGTAGATAAGTAAGTATTTTATCAACGACAAATAAAAATCTTTATAAAGTTATGAAGCATTATATAATATATATATAATAAAACTATATTATCAGTTACCGACGAAGTGAGATAGAAAAAGTTACTTTATCCGTTGTGCGCAAGCGATTAAATATGAAACTAATTAATGCAATCTTAACAAATGTAAAAATAGAATAGAATATATCAACTTTTTAAGAATTATCGCGCATGCGCATAACGAACAAAGTTCTTTGCAAAACAGAAAATGATATCGTTTCTATATACGAGATACATATCTATATATATTTTGTGTTAACTATTAATTTGTATTAATACTTCATCGACTAAATTATTATTTTTAACATTTTATGGATTAAATCCATGTTACAAGGAAAATCATATTGTAATATTGTATTTGCTTTTTTTTTTGTAAATTGTACGTAATAATTTTCATAGAACTTAATATAAGAATCATTGAACTGGTTAATGAGGTAATTCGTAGCGTTAAAAAATAATGGCGTTTCAAATGATTATTCGACTAAATATGAAAGGTGTTTTAAATATGATAAAGATCTTTCTTTGGATCACAGGGAATATAGAAATAAAATAACACATCTGTTATAACGCTGTTCGCATTTGAACAAGTGTAATATCAACATTTTAATCGCATTTCATTGATACACAAGTAAATTTTTAGTTCAATAAACAACTATCGATAAAACTATTACTTACTATAAATATGAATAAGGCGTAAAGCAAATTAAAGATTTTTCTTATCTTTTGTCTTTCTTTTTTTGTGTTTCTTTTTACTGTTTAATATTTGACAATTATTATATATATAAATATTAACACATTTTAAATGTTTTCGTTTAATGCAAAACGAAACTCAATGAAAAATAGATTACGCTTTGATTTTTGCATTTTCATTAACTTTTTTTATCTTTTTCCTTTTTTCTTATATAGCGTATTCTTTTATTATCGTGCTACGCTGCTCGTTCTCTCTTAAAGAAAAAAATTGTATCATAGACAGTAAAGGTTGAAAATAAACAAAAGGGACTGTTTATATGATTAACATTTGTACATGTAAAACTCAGTCGATGTACATAACTTTCGCATAAATCAACACGTTTATATCTCGCTCAAAGTGGCGGCATCTTGAAAAGAAGAAGGAGGAGAAGAAGACGTAGAAGTAGAAGAAAATGTTCTTGTTTTCTCATAAAGAATACCTGCGCGAGAATTATATATATATACATATAAATATATATATCACGACACGAGCTTTCGTACGGTTATTATGCGAAAGTTTAACAAAAGTATTTCTATCTTCTTTTCTTTTCTTTGACAAAAAATGATAGAACGCATTTATTGTTTTTTTTCCTTCTTTTTTTGTTTGTAAAGTATCTGTTGTTGTATATAATGGCATATACTCTATTTTCTTTTCATAGTTAGCACCGTAACTTCTTTTTATATGTATAATATAACGTTTTATTATTTATTTAAAGATGTAGGAGATAAAGTGGATGAAATATAAGAAGGATTAGAAGAAGAGTAAAAGACTATGAAACACGAATCAACGACCGACGTTATTTGATCGTTATTAGCGGTTAGGGGGATGAGGGAAAGGGACATTGCGACCCACCCGTTGCGTTTCTACATAATATATATATATATATATATATATATATATATATATATATATGCATAAAATAGCCGAGTAAGGAATAATTGTAAAGTTTTACTATAATACATAGGTACAGAGACAGGTGAGAGTATTTTAAGTATGTATATCGTTAAAGTTATTTCAATGAAAGTTATTCGTATTCATAGAAATTACACGCATAAGTAAAGTAAGCGTGTAATATAAGTAAAGTGATGACATATAATAATGAAAGTGAGAATTCTAGACGATAGAAGAAGAAAGTCTCGTAGTTATACATATTCATATATCGATATGTATATATCGAAGATATTACGATTGCGTATGTGTATAAATGTGTTGATTTTTCTTCGTATATGTATGTTACTTATCTACGAGAGATAAATCCAAGGTGGTTAACACTTTCTCAATTATACCAGTTGTATTAAAAATTAGATCAGTGTTTTTTCTTTTTCTTTTTTTTTCAATCAAAAAATTTAGACGCTTAAACATTTCTTATTTTTTCTGTAGAAAATATTTTCAAAAATTAGAATCTTTTAGAAAATAATAAGAAATACCTGGACTAGTAAAAAAATGTTCTAATTTTCTCTTTTGAATTTATCTGCATCATCATTTTTATATTGTTTCTGTTCAAAAAAATCTATTAATATACATATATCAGCATTTTATATGACTATCTGAAAATTTATATAAAAATTATAAAAAATAAAAATAAAAAAGAAAAGAAGAAGGAACAAACGTCTAAGTTAATAAATTTTTAGGCAAAAGCCTAAAATTATAATTGTGAGTACATTATAAAAATGGTATATTCAGAAAGTGATCCATTTCTAATTTTCTTCTTTATGACTAGTCGTATTCATTTATATAGAAAATATTGTTGCTAATTCATGCACGTTAGACTTAATAATTCTCGATCAGATAATTATTAAATAAGCTTTAATGAGTTATAAGATATGGATGAGCGTGTATAAATGATGTGTGTTTAAATGTGACGTTGTCACTTTATAAGCACGTTATTTATCAATTAGGAAAATAGATAATTAAACGAACAAATAAATATAACAATGTATGTAATACATGTGTGTGTGTAACCACAATGTAAGTCAGTAATTACTACCAAATTAAAAAAACATTCATGAATCTTAGAAAAAGAGATCTAAGATACCAATAGTTGTTTACTCATATTGTATGCTGTTTAAAAGTGTAGATGTATATATATACATACATATATATATATATATATATATATATATATATATATATATATATAGACAAATATATATATATATAGAGCAAATAAGACCGGATCAATACAGTGAGGAAAAAAGAAAAGAAAAAGAAAAAAAGACAAAAAAATAGAATATAGAGAAAGCAATTAAACGAGAAAAGACAATGTGATCGATGCAGCACTTAAAAATAAGCAATG